TTTCATTTATGAGATGAAGTATAATCTTTCTCCTTTAACTCCCTGTGGGTTGAATGCTAGGATTGGGTTTGGCTGCAAATGACTAAAAACCCCAAAGTATTGGCTTTCCCATGAGGGAGCAGTCTTTGTTAGAGACAAACCCAGAGCAAACAGTACGGGAGGAGTTCGGCAAGCAGGCATCAGGAGGAACAAGGTCCTCCCTCTGTGTGCTGCACCTCTTCCTGTGAGCTGATGCTGTTGGCCCAAGGTGGTACCCTGGCTGGCACACCCTTTGTCCCAGGGCAAGCAGGAGGGTGGGAGACGGGCAAAAGGCTGGCTCACCCAAAGAAGGGATCCTGGGAGCCGGTGCCTGAGTTCTCATGTGTGTTATTGGGATTTTCACATTCATGCTCCCGGAAACATGATTTTACCTCACATATAGGCTTTGGTTTAGATATGGCCAAGTAGTAAAAACCAGGAGTTATTCATTTCTGGAAAGTTTGGTATTGTTTATGGGAAAAACCCTCTTTGGAAGTTTTATTGTGTGCACACACACAGAAAGTATTCAAAGGTGCAAGCTGGACAAACCATTGTGACCAACAAAACAAGGCCATTTCCCTGTATACAACAGGACCATCAAATCAAAGAGCACAGTGTGAGTGTGGATGTGTTTTCACCGTCTGCTTCTTAGGCTCTTTGTGGGTTTCTTCAGCTGTCCCAGTGAAGTCCTTTAGAGCCAGTGATCCAGTTTAAAGTCTCTTACCGCCCACCTCTTAGACTTGAAATCAAGGCAGAGCTGCAGACCTGACTTGCCTGCCCTTCATGTGAACAAAACTCTAGAATATGACAGGCCCACTCCCTGTACAACGCACTTCACCGTGGCTTTGCCTGGTGGCTCCTTGACAGGAAGGGTCCAGGTACCGCTGTCGTGGTCTCCTGTCAGGGGCACATGATGTCACCCTGTCCCAACACTGAGGGTCTCTGCTCTTTGGTCTCTTGAGGATTGCTTGTCAGGCTTCCCCACTGTAAGATCTTGGAGAGAAAGGATCCTTTCCCATCCTGTGCACAATGAACAACATTTTGCGGGAAGGTGTTTCGAGCGTATGTAAATATCCCATGCACCATTGAGTGTCCCTACTCCTTCTGCCTCCAATAGCTTGGGCTCCTGGTCTCATTATTTTATTCATTATTTATTCTGAGGCACAGAATAATCCGGCTTTGCCCTACAGGAACCCTTTCGGGTTCTTTCTGAAACGTCCCATCACCCTTTGAACATGAACTTTCTGACATCTCAAGCTGTTCCGGGTTTGTTGTGTATATTCCCTACTCCAGGCTTGGAGTCAGTCGTGTCTGCAAGAGGCTTTGACTCCATTGCCTTTTAGGGAGGGGTGTGCTCCCCAAGCCCTGATGGCAGAGAAAGCCACAGAAGGTCTCTCTCTATGGATGTATGCCTCCACCCCCAATTCTATGCCAGCACCACGGGGTTCATTCTCTCACGGTCTTCCCATTCAATCTAATAGAACCCCCCATGACCACAGGCCCTAGTGTGGGGACACCCTCTTCCGACTGCCATAGGCTGACGGCTGCTGGACCCTGCCTCCTCGTGCCCCGGGACTTGGCACAGTGGAGAGAAGTGAATGTTGCTCTCACCCTCTCGGGGTTCAGTCTGACTTCAGAAAGTCAAGGCTTATGTTATGAGCTTGTCTTTTAGCTAAGCACTGCTTTTGTAACCAGCAGCAACTCCTAAGCCCCACCCTGCCGCACCTTCTTCCCTTCCCTTTAGGGCCGCCTGCCCATCTCTTTCCTAACAAGTTTATTTTACTTGGCACTCTGAGTCTTGTGTTTGCAGCCTGATGCTGCCGCTGTACCGGGGACCTTTGTCCTCTCATCTGAGACATGGGAGAGGGCTCACCACTGAATACTCTGCCTTTTCCAAGCACAGGTCCCAAGCCACATCCTTTATTTGCTCCTGGTCTATTATTGCATATCCTTTCGTCTACCTCTCGTTCTCTTAGGATCTCCCTCCCCCTCCTTCCTCTTTTTCTGATCTCTTCATCTCTGCCTTCCAGCATCTACTTCCTGTCTTAACCTTCCTCAAAAATCTAGCTCTCCTCCTCTCTGCCTTTCTGTATCTCCCTCCACCCTTCTGTCTTTCCTGTCCCAGGCAGTTTTGCTGTTAATCCTTCTCTGACCTCATTGCTACTTGGTTCCTGCCTCTGGCTTCCTCCCCACCACTGCCGTCCGGTCCTTCCCTTGCCCAGGTTTCTGGGTTCCTACTCATTTCACTACCCCCGATCAGAGCCCCCTTCCCAAGGCACCCTGACAGAGGACTGAGAGTTTACGTCACACAGCTTCATCTCTGCCCTACCCCCGAGCAGTAAGGGCCACTCTGAGGCCGGCTCAGGGAAGCATGCAGGTCCAACTGGCTGTCTCTGTCTCAAGGGAGGCTTCGTAAGCCAGCAGCAGCACTCAGATGGCAGAAAGTCCGTCACAGCCCTGAACCCTAAGAGCAGACGTCAGCTCCACCAGCAACCCCAGCCCTGGTGGGCGATACAATCACACGCCATGTATACACGCACGCACGCACGCACGCCTCCCCGCAGCTGGGCACCAGCCTGGCACTCAGCTTTCCTGGAAACCGCTGCTTTTGTTCAGGTTCAACTTTCTCCCTCCCTTTGGAGTTGACTCCAGCCTTAATTGCCAGCTCCGGCTCCAGCCTGGCCCCTGAAATGTTCTCCTCACGAGTCAGTGGGGAGGGAACAGGGGTGGGGCCATCTGCAGTTTAGGAGCCGAATCCGGCTGGTGGATTCTGCACCTTGTAGCCTGGCTTCCAAGCTTTCTTTAAAACTCGGATCTAACACATGACATTCGCTGCGTATCTGCAGCTCCAGGCGGGCCAGTCACTTCCTAGGACCTCCATCGTCACCCTGCAAGACAGGCACCATTGCCGTCTGCATCACAGGATCACAGGTGTGGCAACTTAGGCTCCAGAGGTCAGAGGTCAGGTGAGGGTAGACTTGTCAGCCCAGCTCTGGTCATATTGTCCTCTATCCAGGGACAACCAGACTTGAAGAGTTGGCTGCGGCAGCGGGGTGGGGTCAGCTGAGTCAGCAACTGGACCAGCTTTGGGAAAGGCTCCACAAAGTGAAGCATCTCAGACCTGCTATCCCAACAGGGACCGTGCCAGAGTTAGCCAGGATGAGGCAGTAAGTGAGGCCAAGTACCTAAGAGTAAGAGCTGTAAGCACATCACAGTCCCTTCAGAAGGAAGAGGGTCTGGTTTATCAGACAGAGGACCTGCTTCCTCCCTGGCTCACCATCCAGGACCAGGGACCCCAGAAGGGTCAGCATCTGTGCTGTACACTGTACAACTCCTGAAAATACCGGGTCAGGTTGGCCCTGCTGGGGCACTGGCCAGGAGGGGAGAAGGGAATGGACAGGTGTTTAGGCTCCAAATGTTTGCACCCCAGGCCCCAGGGCACTGTCGGGGCTCAGTTCACATAAATGGGGCTCCCTTTTGCCAGACACCATGGCTCACAGCGTCTGTATCTCCCACCTTACGCCTATTTGCTGCTAGCTTTATGCAGGTGACGGGTCCCCTGCAGCCTGCCCACCATTGCTTCTGTTATTTTAGCTGCAGAAGGGGGTGAGCTAGCAGGGGGGGGGGGGTGAGCTAGCAGAGGGTGCAATCACCTGCACCGTCACCAGGATGGAGGGGCAGGAATCACCAGGTCGGGGATCCCCTTCTCAGTTGCCCTCCGCCAGGTCCCAAGGGTCTGCCTTCTCCACCCGATGATGGCAGTTGCCCTTGTCTGCTGACGTCCAAAGAGCAGAGTAGGACATGGGGGCCAATGTAACCCACATGTGCATAACAGCTTCACAACAAGCAGGACTGGTGGATGGGATACACTGGAGAACTTCATGAGGGTGGACGCAAAGGAAAGGCCCCATGAGCCCAAGACGGGGTACAAATCAAAACAACTCTGAGATTCCATCTTACACCTGTAAGAATGGCCAAGATCAAAAATACTGATGATAACTTATGCTGGAGAGGTTGTGGGGTAAAGGGAACACTCCTGCATTGCTGGTGGGAGTGCAAGCTGGTACAGCCCTTCTGGATGTCAGTGTGGTGACTTCTCAGAAAATTAGGAAACAACTTTCCTCAAGACCCAGTAATACCACTTTTGCGTATATATCCAAAGGATGCTCAATCGTGCCACAAGGACATGTGCTCAGCTGTGTTCATAGCAGCTTTGTTTGTCATAGCCGGAACCTGGAAACAACCTAAATGTCCCTCGACCGAAGAATGGATAAGGAAAATGTGGTACATTTACACAATGGAGTACTACACAGCAGAAAAAAATAACGATAGCTTGAAATTTTCAGGCAAATGGATGGATCTAGAAAACATCATATTGAGGAAACCCAGACACAGAAAGACAATTATCACATGTACTTACTCATAAGTGGCTTTTAGACATAAAGCAAAGAAAAACCAGCCTACAAATCACAATCCCAGAAAACCCAGACAACAATAAGGAACCTAAGAGAGACATACATGGATCTAATCTACATGGGAAGTAGAAAAAAGAAACAGGATCTCCTGAGTAAATTGGGAGCATAGGGACCATGGGAGAGGGTTGAAGGGGGGGGGGAGGAAGGGAGGGGAGCAGAGAAAAATGCAGAGCTCAATAAAATCAATTTAAAAAAAAGAGTTCCTAAATCCAACAAAAAACAAAAAGGCTGCGTTTGCACATTGCTAACACACAGCTGGTGATCACGGTGGCGTGGGAAGCGTGCACTCGACATCCTCCAAGGTGGTAGGATGAGTTCTTTTAACTCAGCACCATGTGTTTGCAATGACCTTCCCCAGCCTCAGAACATACCTCCCAACGCGCAGGCACACGCGTGCGCGCCCGCGCACACACACATACACACACGCCCACTCCACTTTCATCAGACACTTCACTTTCAGAGAAGCCTCACTGGCAGAGTTTAGACGTTGGACAGCTTATTTCCCACCTTGCTTGCTGTGTGGTCTCAGGTGACTCCGAGTTCTAAACGCTCCACACTGCGGTACATTCCGCTCACTTCTTAGACACGTGCGGAAGGCAATTACATCACTATTTCCCCTCGGGACTCCACGGCAGGTGGCAGGTGGCACTGAGTATCTAGTCTGCGCTTTCTGTCTCTGTCCTGGGCTCTTTGGACTCTGGCTTGGTCCTCTGCACCGTGAGTCCCTCCTCTCCCAGGCGCGCTGTCCTGAAGCTCAGCTCTCACTACAGGTGAACCTGCTGGCAGGCGGTGGCTGAGAACTCTAGCGGAAGCCAGTGAGCGCAGTTCTGGCGCCCTCTGCTGGCAGAAATTCTGTGACCGCGTTTCTAAAGTGCTTTTAGTCTCCCTGTCCTCATTGTCCTCATTGACCCGTCTACTCCCTGTGTCATTCCGCTAGTCACTCATCCATCTGCCTGTCCGGATACCAATCCTCCATCCACCCATCCACCACAAATCTTTTGATCTTCTCGTCCACATACTCATCCAGCTACCATCCACCCATCCATCTACTTATCATCCATCCATCATCTAACCATATATTCATCCACCCACCCACCCATTCAGTTATATCCATCCATCCATCATCCATCCATCCATCCATCCATCCATCCATCCATCCATCCATCCAAGCATCCACCCACCCACCCATGCACACATGCACACAGCCATCCATCGATGCATCCATCCCGTGCATGCATCCATCCGTGCATGCATCCATATGTGCATGCATCCATCCGTGCATTCATGCATGCATCCATCCATGCATCCGTCTGTCCGTCCATCCACCCACCCACATCTGCCTACAAGCCCCTGGCTATATCCATACGCCTACTCCCACAGCCACGATTGCTCCCCTCACTCCCGGTATCACTTGTGTCTCAAAGACACCACCCCTCTCCCAGGGCTTTTCATTGCAGTATCCCCAGGTCGTCCTCTGCATTGGTCCCGGCATTGGCCTCAGTGCCACAGAGAAGGATAAATAGAGTCCCCGTCCACAGGTTTCTTTCCCACTGTCTGTCTGTCAGCAGCTCGGAAGCCTTAGGAGCCCACGGACCTGATGGGGAGACTGGAACACAGCATTGCCCGACAGCAGAACGTTAGGAACACCACAGACAGTGAGCGGCCACACCAGTCAATCTCGGGCTCTCTGAGCCTTAGAGTTCATTGGTAAAGTTAACCACTCGGTGAATATTTGCTGTGTGCAGCGTGTGCCATGCGTGGCCCTGGGACACACCAGTGGGCCGGGCAGGAGGGACCCTCTTAATTTTGCGCTGACATCATGAAGCTCACATGACACAGACACGAGCCACCGTCACTGTCGTCGTCACTACTTCTGTAAGAATGCAGAAGGGAGCGACTGGCATGTTTCAAGACATTTCCCATGGTTTATTATTTTTCTTACGTGTGTCTGGAGTGATGTTCTGCCTCTCACCGACCCAGAATCAACTGTGAGCCCCAACCGGTCTTTCTTCCCTGGGTGGTTTTGTCAGCCATTTGGTCAAAGCAATGAAAAACTAATGGATACAACAATTCTCCCTGCCCAGCCATTCCCAAATTACAGATGCGTGAGCAAAATAACCTGGGGTTATGTTAAACATTCACCTCTCAGGTATCTGTAGCTCATTAGCTAACTAGAGCCCAATGCCATACTCCGCTCATCCCCTTCAGAATTCAGAGAGACATGTCTAGAACATACAGCACGTCCTCACACGGCTGTGTCAGCCCGTGAAAGCTGCCTTCTGCGGTCTCAGTTCCCTCATCTGCAAAATGGGACATCAGTTGTAGCGTCTGGAACGTTCAGACTAAGCCACACCACTCCACACAGCTTGCTTTTCATTTTGCTGCGGTCTGGTGCGACTTTTCACCAGAGGCCATAGCTTCTCCCCTGGCAATCACCTGTCTGGGGGGGGGGGGCTCCTGAAACCACCCTCTCCACAGCCTGAACCTGTCTTTAAAGGTTTTAAAATTATTAATGAATTTGTTTAGAGTGTGTGTATGCCAGAAGAAAACTGTGGGAGTCGGTATTCTCCCTCCACCATGTGGGTCTCCAGGACCCACCTCAGGTAGTCAGGCTTGGCAGCAAGTACCTTTACCCACTGAGCCGTCTTGTCAGCCCACTACCCCCATCTTGAGCATAGACCTTTCTGAGCAAGGGCCTCTTGGGAGTTGCCACAGTCTGGCTGTATGTTTTCTGTTGGAATCCTAGGATTAGTGGTGCTGGGAAATGACCAGCCCAACAAGACAATGGAGCTGAGGTACTGGAACCAGAACTATGATCTGGGACAAAGCATTTACCTAGGCAGAAGGCCTGGGTCCCATTCCTAGAGTTGTAAAATACAGGCATAGTCCCCTGTATTTGTGCAATACTAGAACAGTCTTTTTGCCGAGGGAGGAAGGGAAAAAGCAAGGTGGTAGCATGGGCCAGTACCTATCCTGGGATGTCACAGGGCTCTGGCACTAAGCCCCTGTGACAACGATAACGGTTATAAGGATAGTGGCGAACCGAGACAACATACTTACGGCCACACGTTCCTTAACAGGGATCCAGTCTGGAGAGCACACTGCTGGGCACTTGTATTGTTATGTGGCCGTCAGAGCCTATATGTACAAATTCTGATGGCACACAGCCTTATGCATGCTTAGACCACACAATCACACCCCCACATATGCAGTCTGCCATCGACTGCTATGTGATGTGTATCTACATGTGGGAAATAAAGGATGTAAATTATCATCACATAATTGAGGGCTTCCATGACACCCAAGTCCCTCACGCCCTGCAGGGACAGTTATGGCACAATGGAGGCCCAGACTCAGGATCCGATGACAGCATTCAGTCATGACCTCTTGTACTCCAAAGGATGGGACCCCAGCCACATGGGACAGACATTTAGGGACCAGGGATGGGTGTAAGAATTCTAAAGTTTCGCCGGGCGTTGGTGGCGCACGCCTTTAATCCCAGCACTCGGGAGGCAGAGGTAGGTGGATCTCTGTGAGTTCGAGACCAAACTGGTCTACAAGAGCTAGTTCCAGGACAGGCTCCAAAGCCACAGAGAAACCCTATCTCGAAAAACCAAAAAAAAAAAAAAAAAAAAAAAAAAGAATAAAGAAACCTTGTGTGATTGCATCAGAAAGTTGGCTCCCTTACAGCAAAAGCAGATCCTGCAGGTCTTTCTGGGCACCCCTCCTTTGCTCCCCAGACCCTGCAGGTATTTCTGATCACCCCTCCTTTGCTCCCCAGACCCTGCAGGGCTTTCTGGGCACCCCTCCTTTGCTTCTCAGACCCTACAGGGCTTTCTGGGCACCCCCTCCTTTGCTCCCCAGACCATGCCTTCATCACTTTGCTGCTTTCAGACCACAGCCAGGGTTCCATCCCAGCACAGTCTGGAGAAGCCCAACGTCCAAACTACTAGCAATGGGTTTCAATGTTAGCATGCAAAAAGCTGGGTCTGACCCCCAACGACAGAGTCAACCGGTTATGAAGCAAGGGAGAGGGAAGGAAAGGCTTTATTACCGTGAACTTAGCTGACTGGAAGATGGAGGACCACCTTGTCCCAGAGAGTGATCTTCCTGGGAGGCTGACTTGGGGTGGTATGAGATGAGGGTCAAGTGAGAGGCTCCGGGACCCAGCCTCACATGCAGTGAAAGACTTTGAAGTCCACGCCAATCCCCAAAAGTTTAGATCAAGAGGGGGGGGGAACGCTAAAATTAGGCTGGGCCAAATTCACTGACACGGGAGCTGGTTTTCGGGATCAAATATTTTACCTTGATCACTCAGGAGTCTTTTCATCTGCTGGGTGGATGAGCCGGAGTTTGCATTCAACAAAGGCCTCACTCAGAGAGAAGAAATGTCAGAACGTCTTTGGAACAGGGAGAGGGATGCATCCGGAGGCCGAGGGGAGCAGACACATCGGGGAAGAGGATAAATATAGCACCTGCTAGCCTCCTAGGTGAAGCAGGAGCACGCTCCCTGCACCAGAGCAAAGAGTAGGGCCCTGCTCGTGCTGAACACTTCAACTGCGGGGGTCAGGCAGTGGGCATTCTTTGAGGTCAGTGTGGACATTAGTATCCCGGGAGTCTAGACAGGGAAGAGCCCCTGCCCATCAGAAACAAATGAGTGGATACAATCGCCAGAATGAGGCAGTCCAGACTTACCAGTCCAGAGCGATCGTGGAAGTGTTTCTGGAAGCTGTGGGAGTTTCTAACTAATCGTTGTACCCCTGTCACCACAGGCAGGATGTTCTGGCGTGGAACTAATGGAGATAAGATGGAGGAAAAGGTACCAGGTCAGACAAAGTGACTTGGGCATGTAGCTGGCTGGTAGAGTCTTGCCTAGCATTTGCAAGAGGTTCAAACTCTAACGCTGCAAAAGATAAAATCACTTTTGAAAAAACACAGGCAAGACTTGAATGGGGCATAGGCTTGTGAGTAGAAGTGAGCTAGCACTGCCCAAAGAGGTAGCCGGACCTGCCCACTGAGCATAGGAAAGGACACACGTTCCTCTGGTCTGCTGCAGTCAGATAAGCTGGGTAAAGTTTCAGAAGATGGCTTATCTTCTCGTGTACGAACATCTGGCTGTGAGGTTTGCAAGCTAACCGAGTAGTTATATTAACCCAGGAGAGGCCAAGTTACTTCTCTGTGGACACCAGCATCTCTCATGGTGTAGTCATGGCCCCGTGACAGAAAGACAGACTTCCAGTGTTTGGGCTACTGAAGAGGCAGCAAGGTTAGGAAGAACACGTTCCAGCCCCAGTGGGCATCAGACCAAGTGAACTCTGCATGCTCGTTCATGCACAAAACATCGTGAATAAGCAATGTGCTTCTACACGCATGGCCAAGTAGAATCCGGCTCCCGGGGCAAGATGGTAAAGGGTCAGACACACACCATGAAGAGACAGAGATGCCGTGCCTTCCGCCTGGTTAGTCCTCCTTCAGATGTGTGTGTGTGTGTGTGTGTGTGTATATATATATACACACACACATATATATATATATATATATATTGTCTGTTTTCAGTGAAAGTACTTGTTTTCCATGGTGAGGACATGGAGCTGAGGCCGCACCACCCAGAGACAGGACCTCAAGATTAGTGATTTTTTAATTAACCAAAAGCAAGAGTCGTCACTGGGCTCAGACCGGACATGTGAGTCCATTCTTAGGGTTTGCCATTCATTTTGTAAGATGACTTTTCCCCTTGGTAG